TTTGGTTGCGAAAATTATTTCTTATCGAAAATCTTAACTGTCTTTTCCTTTTTGCCTCTATAGTTCTTACACTCAAGTTTATTACCCTTTTTATGCAACGGACATATTATTAACCTCAGCCACTATTCTGGTACCTATTCATCTGTCATATAAGTACTATTAGTTTATGGATTGCTGCAAAAAAAAAGTTGATCACCACCTTTTTTTATACATTTCCGAACAGATTTCATCCATAATAGGCAGGATGGTTCCTTGTTTTCCGACGAGATCCATATTCGAGTCGCATCGCATTGAAAAATTTAGAATTTACATAATTAATGATGTAGAGAATAGATATGGATATTGAAGCCAATGCTAAAAAATGCATAGACGTGTATTCAATCAATATAATATAAAACAGCTTGTAACATGACTGATTACAATCAAAAGCGAATACAATACTGTATAAGTGAAGAAGTACATATTTCACAATTGTAAAAGTTTTATTACATCTTCGGTTAAAAAACAAATACCAGTACAGATAACGTTACGACACAAAACACAAAAGTTATGTTAATTATGTAGGGTAATTCTGAAAAAAGAACAGCTATTGGGTTAAAAAAATCTCTTAGGAGAACGGAGACAACAGTCACTGTCGTGCTTTTTGTTTAACTTTGTTCCGTTCTAGTTAATTGTTGATTGTAATGGTCTGTATGCACGCATGAAATAAATAATAAATGTTGAAATTAAAGTGTCGTTAGGTAAAAAAGTGTGCTTAAGTTTTCATTAATTATTTATAGACAAATATTAAATATTCTGTTGATTTATACATAATGTAATTATAGGGTGAGTTTTTAGTACCACATCGGTCGATATTTCCATTATGGTATAGAAATAAACTATCGAAAAAACTTATTTAGAGAAAATGTAGGCAATGATATTCTTCATACTTGGAAAATATGTGGAATTCTATAGGGTGATTAATAACTACGTGGTATAGCAAATATAAAATTTTTTAAATGGGACACCCTATATATTTTATATAGTATTGAATTCAATACTATATAAAGTATTGAATAAGATATGACAATTTATATAAAATCAACACCATGTTTATTAAGAAGTAATTTATGAACAATTCTTTATTTTATATAATAAAGTAAACAATATATTGCAGTTTTTAAAGTAAGCTTAATTAAAATCATTGACAATCTCATTTGTGGTCTTCCTCTGCTTCTCTTTCCTAACCATGGTCTCCATTGTTGTATTTCGTGGTTCCATCTATTATCCTTGAGTCGAGCATTGTGTCCTGCGAAGCTCCATTTTAATTTGGCAGCATGTTCTCCTGCGTCTTTTACTTTCGTTTTGCTTCTAATCCATTTGTTTGTTTTTTTGTCTATACGTCTCACCCCGAGCATTGATCTTTCCATCGCTCTTTGTGCTTTTACTATTTTATCCATGTTAGACTTGGTTAGTATAGGTATCACTAAATTGCGTAAAATAGACAGATGGTAAGAGTATATTGAGGAACTGTTTAGTGATGAAAGGCCCGAGCTTGAAATTAACGAAGTAGTTACAGGACTTCACATAACTATGGACGAAATTGAACAAGCAATACGATTAGCAAAGACCCGAAAAGCGACGGGGCCAGATGATATACCGAGTGAAATAATAAAGCTCTTCGAAAGTTCAGGTAAAATATCTCTCCTTCATCTGTTTAATAAAATTTATGAAACTGGCTATATACCAACGGATTGGCAGCTGTCGACTTTTGTGACGATACCTAAAAAAGCAAATGCAAAAAGATGTAGTGACTACCGAACCATCAGCTTGATGAGTCATATTTTAAAGATATTTCTATGAATTTTGCATTATATGATGTACCAAAAAATAGAACAACAGCTTGGTAATACATAGTTTGGATTCCGCAATAACCTTAGAACAAGAGAAGCACTATTTAGTATTCAGGTTATGGTACAGAGATGCAGAGATGTCGGACATCCAGTTTATATGTGTTTTATTGACTTTGAGAAGGCCTTTGATCGAGTAAAACATACTGAAATGATAGCTATTCTTCAGCAGGTAGGTATTAATGATAAAGACCTACGTAATATTAAAAATCTTTACTGGCATCAACGTACAAATATCAGGATTGGCCGGGATACTTCTGAAGAGCTTCAAATACGAAGAGGGGTAAGACAGGGCTGCATTTTATCCCCGCTACCATTTAACATCTATTCTGAGTTCGTTTTCAATAAAGCAGTGGATTATGTTCAATGTGGTATAAAAATGAATGACGTCAATATTAATAATTTGAGATATGCGGATGACACAGTGTTAATTACAAGAAATTACGAAGAACTTCAACATCTAATTAACAGGATTACCACAACTTCTGTTAAATATAGCCTTAAGCTAAACACCGCAAAGACAAAGGTGATGCTCGTCAGTAAAACGCCAATACAAACGGAAGTGGTAACAGCTTATGGTGAACAACTGGAGAGAACTATCAGTATCACTTACCCTGGTTGTAATCTAAATGAGAACTGGGACATGAGCAAAGAAATTAGAATACGGATGGAGAAGGCCAGAGCTGCATTTTTTTAAATAAAGAAACTGTTATGTGGAAACAATATGACTTTAAGCCTGAAAATTAGATTAGTGAGATGTTATGTGTTCTTTACTCCTTTGTATGGTGTCGAAGGTTGGACTTTGACGGATACACTTCTCAAGAAACTAAAAGCCTTCGAAATCTGGGTGTATCGGAGAATCTCGCGAATAAGTTGGGTGGATAGAGTTCGTAACGAAGTTGTTTTGCATCGGATGGGAAAAGTTACGGAAGTCGTCAACACAGTTAAAAATCGCAAACTTGAATATTTTGGCCATGTTATGAGCCACCCAGAAGATATAATATACTCCATTTAATAATACAAGGTAAGGTAGACGGAAAAGAGGGACATGTCGAAGAAGAAAGTCATGGCTTAGAAACCTGAGAGACTGGTTTAACAGATCCTCTGCATCTCTTTTCCGAGCTGCCGTCAACAAAATTACTATAGCCAATTTGATAGCCAACGCTCGATAATCGAGCACGGCATATGAACAGAAAGGAGAGTATAGGGAGCATATGCCGATCGTAAATTCTGGTTTTCAAATATTGTTCTATTTTAGTGCTTTTTAAGATCCAACTCAGTTTTCCAAATCCTGCTCACGCCAATCTTATTTTTCTGGTAATTTCGACAGTTTGATTTTCTTTGTTATATTTCACTATCTGTCCCAGGTAGATGTATGTTATAAGTATTGAGTATTAAAGGATAATATAACAAAATTATTTTTATTTAATAAGTAACTAACAAGAAATATAAGCCATAACAATATGCAATGAATATATCAATAAATGTGATATTATGGAAATCTAATATTTCCTTAATCAAATACAAGATTTCTTAAATTCCTACAAGATAATATGTTTTATATAATAATATAACAAGATTATTTTTCTTCAATAAATAACACACATAATAGAGAGCAAAACAATATACAATTTATATAACAATTTTTAGAAACTCTTCTAAACACCCAAGTAACTTTAAAAATAATTTGGGAATTTCTGTGGATGACCATGATATAGCAGAATCTTTCAGTCAACATTTTTCGAATTCCGTAAAAAATTTAATTAGACAACCTTCACCTGGCTATAATCCTAAGAATCTTTCTTCGCCTATACACTCTCTTTTCCTTTATCCTGTTAGTGATGAAGAAATAAAAAGTATAATTAAAGATTTCTCAGAAAAATCCTCGGCTGGACTGGATGAGATCCTGTATTCTATGTTAACACATATATCTCATAACATATATAAACGATTAACATTTCTAGTAAACCTTTCATTTCAGGAAGGGATTTTTCCTCAAATTCTAAATACTGCTTTAGTTGTGCCTATACATAAAAAAGGTGACAAATAAAAATTTGATAACTATCGAGGCCTATCACTTTTATCTGTGTTTTTAAAAATATATGAAAAGGCATTTCATACACGTCTCCTCTCGTATATTAACCAGCACAACAATATAGAAAAGTGTCAATTTGGTTTCCGTGAAGGTATAAGTGTGCAAGATGCATTACTAGCGCTGTGCAATCATATTTTATCGAACTTTGATATGGGTAATAAAGTTATCTATTTGTTTTTTGACTTGGCACGAGCTTTTGAAACTGTAAATCATCTAATACTGCTAGAAAAACTTTATCATAGTGGTGTTAGAGGGACTGCGTTAAAGTGGATCCACACCGTTTTATCGAAAAGGTTTCAAAAATTAAGGTCCATGTGAATGGGAATAGAATATTTTCTTCAGAAGAAGGTGACCTCTCCGGAGTTCCGTAGGGAAGTATCATTGGCCTTTTTTTATTTTTTATTTTCGTCAATGATTTAAATCAACTGATAAACGATAGCTCAACATATTTAGTTCGGAATCCATTAGATATTTTTTCTGATGCAATTCGATACGTTCGAGTAGAAAACGTGGAACAGCAATCAGGCTGTTTTGTCACTCAATTTGCTGACGATACCACAGTTGCACTAAATTCCAATATTTTTTTTCATGTAGTACAAAAAGCAAACTGTCTTGTAAAAAGTATGACTCATTACTATTTAAATAATGCCCTAATCTTAAATGGATCAAAGACCATATGGTAACCTTTTCACCTTCTATAATGCAGATGAGCCCATTAGTTAAACTTGACAATGGCAAATAGCCACTCCACTAAGTTGTTAGGTGTTTACCTGTATTCTAATTTGTCTTGGAGTTCTCACGTTGATTTTGTAGTGGGAAGATTGTCTGTGCATTGTTATGTTTTATGGTAACTTAGGAATTTTATCTCCCTAGATACCTTAAAACTTTACTGTTTTGCTCATGTACAGTCAATTTTGCAATATTGCTTAGTTTTTTGGGGAAATGGCTCGCAAATTAATGAGGTGGTTGTTCTTTAAAAATAATTCATTAAAATTTAAAAAATGTATTAATTACAGAATTCAACCATCTATTCTTCTCTACGGGGCCGGAGGGCAAGGACAACCCATCTTGATCAACCCAGGAAACCCACCAGGCAATTTCTTGGTACCTCAACAGCCCGGCGTTGTTTATAGAAACAATCCTCAAAATCCTGTCTTCGTAGGAGGATATCCCAATCCAAAACCTGCGCATATTCCTCCAATCGAAAAGGATGCTGAAGAGATTCCAACCAATCCTGCCAACATTCCTCCATTTCAATCTAAGCCTAGTGGTATGTATATTTTTGCAATATTTAGTAATTTTTACAATTTACTAAAAGAACTGTTAGGGTAAACGAGAATTTAAAAACTACAATATTATATTACAGTTATTTTTATTTACAATCTACACCTTGCGTATACACATTTCCTGATTTTAAGTATAAATTTAACAAAGTGTGTGTTCTCTTTTGACAATCATCAAAGTGTAAATCTGTATACGGATTCCTTATCCGCAATTTATTCGTAAATCCGGTAAATTCTTATATCGGCATCCAAGGAAATGAGATTACTGACAGTGCTGCAAAAGAAGCATCTACATCCAATTTACCCATCTACAACAAACAGCTCCAAGAAGGTATAAAATTAAAATCCAAAAGGAATATCCAAGGCAAGCGGCAGGAATTTTGGATCACCAAAGACATAAAGCTCAGAGAAATACTACCGTATGTTAACAGATATAATATACCTAGCATCTCTGAACAGAAAAAGAAGATAGCAAAACGAAGATTGAGGATAGGACACACACGTTTGACGCACACGGTCCCCTTATGTCCTCTGCATACCAACAGTTATGCTCCCACTGCAAGGATATTCCTATTACCGTCAAGCACATCCTTGAGAATGTCAACACTATCAGGTTACTCTCATTGCCAACAATATAAGCCACAGTTTAAAAGAACTTCTGAACTGTTTAAGCTGACTCAAGAGCCTAATAGACTTCTTAAAGACTACACAATTGTTTAACAAAATATAATATACGTAATATTGTTATTCTTTACTATTGTTAACTCTGTATGATAAATCTGTAGGTACTATTGTAAACCTTTGCTCGCGTGTCAAAGACCAAAGATGTCGAGACACGTTAATTCGAAAAAAATTGAAAGTATCTCTGCATTTTGCTTTAACTGAAGTTAACTCGAATATATTAATCTTCCTTCTCTCTTAAAGAATATATTTTACACTTTTGTTAAAAAATTTGGTACTTTGATATTCCAATTTCGAGTTTATATAAAAATTAAAACACAGAATTATTTTTATCGACAATAATATGTAATAACAATAAATACTGACGGTATTTACATTATACACTAGGTTATTGAATTACATATGTAATCATAACCAATTTATTAAATTGACAATGAGCACATATTTAATAGCACTTTCTACCTCGTTATTAACTGCATTGTGCACAATATGCAATATTTTTTATTGTTTATTGCCATACCTGTCTGTGGGTGCTACTACTTTAAATAATTACATTCTGTACGTTAGTGCAACAACAATGTTGATAGTGTTGTGAAGTTTTCCTTCAATTAATGTGTTATAATCAATATATGATGAAAATTTAGAACAATATAAAAATAGTGATATATTCTGATATATTACAAATTTATTACGCTCACGCTATTTTCCCATCTCTAACTTTTTAATTGTTTGTTCCGGGTTTATTTATCTATTTTTACTTTTAGTTTTGCAGAAAATGCATTCCTTAATATATATTATAAACAATTTTGAACAATGTTGCCTCCTTATCTCACTCTAGAAATTGTTTGTATTCCTAATGGTTCATATATAACTGATGTGCATATACCAGCTTTGTTTTGTAGCATTTGGCAATTTGTTTATCACCAAACAAAGAAATAAAAACAGGTAAACACTTTAACTACCTAAATGAAACTTCTGTCAATAATTTAACCTCCCGTTTTAATAATAGACGCAAAGATAGTATTATGGGCTACCATTTTGTTTTTCCATCATAAATACTTTCATTATAAATGAATCTTTATGAAAATGGAAACAATTACACTTTATAATTTTGTAAATAAGTATAACACAATAATTTTAGTATAATAAAAATGTTAATATAGAAAGAAAAATATAAGTTCTGGTGGCTAAATGGGCTACCAGTAAATAGGTCATAAAAACCAAGCTACTAATGGTCTAAACAGTATTTTAAGTTTATTTTTTATTAAAAATGTAAATTTCTTAACAATAGTCTATACATGGATTTCATTTTAGATTTTATTTACAAAAATCGCAAATAAAATGTTCGGTTTTTGCAGCCAGCACACTCATTGTAAACCCACATTTCACACATTAAACATAGTTCTCCTTTCCTATGATTTGAATACAACTAATCACAGAAAATACAGGGAGCGTCTTCACTTGTGGAGTTTTCAGCTCTAATTAGTATCTTGAAACCTGAATCTCCAGACTTCGAGGTAACAACGCATGGTTGTAGGTTGAGCTTCCACTTTACCGTCTGTGTTTTAGATTCTTGTTTAATCTTTCCATAATCGCCTTGCTCTTGTTTTACAACTTTCTTTCTCCCTCCAGTTGTTGTTTTTACCATTGAACTACGAACAACACCATCATCTCCGGTAAAGATTGTTTTCACACGACCTAAAGACCATTTTATGGGAGGAAGCCCATCCTCCTTGATTAGGACAAGTGTATCTGGGAACAGTACTTGGGGTTCAGCTTTCTTCCATTTGTTTCGGGATTGTAGTTGTGAAATGTATTCGGAATACCATCTCTTCCAAAATAATTAAAGTCTTTGTTGGATAAACTGATATCGATTGAGCCAATTTTCAGTGACATTAAGCCAATTGTGGTCTTATACGGACAAAAGTGGTTCTTCTATCCAAAAGTGCGAAGGTGTTAAACGATTGAGGTCATTGGGGTCGTCAGATAGTGGAGAAATTGGTTGGTAGTTTAAACAGGATTAAACAAAATGAGAACTACTTGAAGGATAAAATAGTTTTACCGATACTAGGGCGCAAATAATATATAATAACGGATTGATTATGGCTGTCGCCGCTTCTCCGTCCCCAATTTCCATCTTTTTCTGTCATACGCAGTTGCCTCTTCTAAGTCTCTTGCCGCCATTGCTTCATCAATATCGTTGCGCCAACTTCTCCGTGGTCGTCCTCTCTTTCTTCTTTCAGGAGGGATTCATTCCAGTACTCTTTTAGGCCATCTGTACTCTGGCATTCTTTTAACATGTCCGAACCAGATTAATTGTTTTCTTTCTATGTCATCATTGATATTTCGCTCCATTTTCATTTCGTTTCTTATTTGTTCGTTCCTAACTCTTTCTAGTTTCGATCTACCGCAGCTTCGTCTCAGATAATCCATTTTTGTCGTCATAAGTTTGTTTTTATTAGCTTTGGTGACGTCCCATACTTCCGAACCGTAAAGTGTAATACTTTGGACTATACTACCGTAAATGTGTTTTTTGGTTTCTCGTCGAATTGTTTTTTGCCAGAAAAGAGAGTTTAAGGCACGGGTCGCTGCTCTACCCTTGTTTATTCTTTCCCTGATTTCATCTGCGCTATTTCTCTTCTTATTGAAAATGACCCCCAAATATTTGCAGGATTGTACGCCTTTGATTTTGTCGTATTCCAAGACTAGGTCACATATTTCATCTGTCCCACTGATAGATATTCACATTTTGTCATATTCATGTTTAGACCTGCCACCTCATATTCTCGCAAATAATGTTTAACCGATTTAACACCGGCTTCCCAAAGTCCGCTGTAGTGCGGAGAATTAGGCGGAATGAATCGCCAATCAATATTTTCCTGACAAAGTTTACTTTGAATTTCAGTTGAATTGACTTTAAAGAACCTTTGTAATTCATTTTTTGCACCCTGACAGTTGGTACCGTGATCTGAGAATATTTTTCTACAAATACCACGTTGTGCTACAAAGCGACGAAGTGAGGCTATAAAGCATTCAGTGGTAAGGTGACTTACCAGTTCTAAGTGTACGGCCTTTGTACTAAAACAGACGAAAAGGCAAATACAACATTTTAACACTTTATAATTCCGAGTTTTTCTATCGCGTAGTTTAAATGGACCTGCATAATCAGGCCCACAAACCGAAAACGGGCGTGAAGGTTGTGTTCGATCAATAGATAAGTCTTATATCAGACATTTGACAGTTTTGGCATTAAAACGAAAGTATCGAATACAACTATCGACAGTTTGTTTGGTTAAATTTCGACCATTCGTAGGCCAGAATTCTTCACGAATTGCAAATAATGTGAGTTGAGTTCCAGCATGAAGAAGGGCAATATATTTAAATTTGGCATAGAGTTTAGTGAGATGATCGTTTTTGGAAGAATAGCTGGATGTTTTTTTATCATAGTTAAAATTAGATCTATCCAAGCATCCTTCAACTCTTAGTATATCGGAATCATGTATAAAAGCTTTTAAAGTATACAGGCTATTAGAGGGATCCAATTTTTGGCTTAATTTCTCTTACAAAAGATTCTTTTTGACAAATACGGGTTAGTTGCTTTGAAGAATTTCTCAATTCTCCGCATGCCAATGGATCTGAGACCTTGTTGGAAGAATTGGGATGACAAAGACGACGAAAAGTTGTTACATTGAAGTAACAATTTACTTCAATGTATAAATTGCAAGCTCAAAAAAAAATGCATAAAGAAAAAATGCAATTGCAATTAAAAATGGTATTTGAAAATACGATATTTGAAATCTTTGTTGTCCGAGACATCGATTAAAAAAATAGAGCAAAATTCGTTAGCAATAAGGCGAGATAATGCAATTTTTAGCGCGCGCTACGATATTGAACTCTCCGATTCACATTTCGAGTGAATGTCCCCCACCACCACCACACATGCATTCCGAGCGACATTTTACGCGAAAACGGTTTTTTATTTGTCTTTTTTATGGATGTTGCCATGAAGCGCATTACGTAAAACTTTTCATAACAAAGTACTTGACAAGACGAGGGTATTTGTTTAAAAACGAGCCCTCTATCACTTATGATTACACGGCAAATGTATGCCAACTTTGACCTTCAATATCTCGGCAACCAATAAGCCGAATGTAGATATTTTTTTAAAGAAGCGTCTTTTAATGCTCTTTAAGTGAATAAATTTTAAAATTGATATGTTTAAAGCTCGTAAAGTTATTCAATTTGTTTATAAGCCTAAAAAATGTTTAAAACTTTTAAAAAATTTCTAGGCTCTCCTAGTGAACCG